TCAAAAACTATTGCAGCCATTAACAGAGTCAATGATACGTGCAAATTTTGTCTGGGATGTTGGTTGTCTCACCCACAACACGTTGTCCAGCAATTTGCAACATGTGGAAGCTGTGTTCTACAAAACGACACCAACTGTACATGACACACCACATGGACTACATCAGAAAAACTGAAGTCTTTATCTCTATCCAAGTGAAATTCCCCAAACAGAATGGACAACACACACAAAATGCCAAGACTAACACTGGTGCAAGTGCAAATATAATGCCTTTATACATCTTACATGAGATGTATACAGGAAATTGATACAGTTTGGTGTAGACCACACAAAAGAAGTCATCAGGTCTAACATCTCATGCACTGGCATTCTCCAACTCAAACGTCAATACGGCTTCTCAGGATGGACATCTGAAGCCATTAATATCATTGTTGGAGCAGAATTTTTTTGGTTGAACTGTCTGTGTTTTGAATTCCATTTTGCCACCTAACACTGATAATTTTTGATTCACTTGGCCAATATCCAGCTCTCTGCCTTAAACATATTCAATGAAGCCATCTAACCGCCTTGTGAGCCTGAAAGTTCCAGAGTTGGTAAACTCGCTGAAAGATAATAATTCTTCTCATCACTGTCCTAAAAGAAATACCACTCATTTATAAATGGTGCCTCCTAGTTCTCGACTGACCCACACGAGAAAACATCCTTTTCCATGTTTACTTTATCAAGGTCATTTCAGGACCTTCTACACTGCAATCAAGTCATCCCTTACTTTCTGCATCCCAGTGGAAACTAGCCCATTGAGACCAACATTTCCTTGTCAGACAATCCTTTCAATCCAGGTATCAATCTTGTAGAACTCCTTTGAATTGTCTCATTCTTATCTTTCCTTAAATAAGGAGACTATAGCAGCACATAGTATCTGAGATACTGTCTCACAAATACCCTGTATTATTAAAATATAACATCTTTACTTTTATGGTCAATTCCTCTTACAATAATAGATAGCTTCACATTAAGCTTCTAGATTACATTCTGAACCTTGCTACTACCCTTTTGAGATCCAGGCACTATAATACTCAGATCTTTCTGTACCTCAGAAATCCAAAATTGTTCTTGATTTAAGTAATACACTTTTTTTTTTTAAATTCTCCCCTTGACTTATTACATCAGCATAAACTCGATCCTTCACACATTATTTTGTTTAAATCTTTCTGTACTTCACCAGTTAGAGAGTTTTTTAGAACACAGGTCCAAGATCACGCAGGGTCCAGATGGTTCTAAATGTAAATTCCCCACTTTTCTCATTACTGATGCCAGTGCCCATGACCAAGAGCTTTTCATGCCCCAGTCTTTGCACCATGTATTAATTTCATTAATCTTATGTACTCTCTTCAATATAAAGATTATTACCCTTGAAGTTCTGTTCTTCAGTCCGTTGCCTGTTTCCTCACACTGTCTAAACTGAACTCTAAAAGCTTAAACACATGTACAAACAGGTTCAAGAACAGATTCTTTCCCACTGTTATTGAACTGCTTCAAATTTCAAATCTAATGTTGATCTTGCTTTTGTACACCTCCTGTGCAGCCGTAACTTTGTACACCTCGCTCTGTTCAATCACTCTATGATCTGTATGTCCTTATATGTTATAATCTGCCTGTGCTGCATGCAAAACAAAACTTTTCATTGTACTTGGGCACATGTGACAAAAATAAATCAAATCAAATCAATTCAAATTAAACTCTTTCCTTGTCCTCCCTATGTCATTGGTATCTTCAAGGACAATTACAAGTGGATCCTCCCTCTCCCACTCAAGGTTCCTGTCCAGCCCTGAGGAGATGTCCCGAACTGTGCCACCAGTTAGGCAAAATACCACTCTGGACTCACCCTCTTGGCTACACAGAACAGCGTCTACCTTCAATACTGTACTATCCTCTATTATCACTTATTTCCTTTTCTCTTCTCCTATTTGAATCACTTCCTGTACTTAGCACAAATGGTCAGTTTGCTCATACATCATGCAGCCATCTGTCACCTTTTTGATGACCCTGCTTATACTTTCCTTTCACTTTATTTTTGCCTATCCCTTGTTAGTCTTCTCTTCCTTTCACCTCGGCAACAATTGGCAATGGGTTTAGTTGCCTTTTGAGACTTCCCTAATTGATAAAGATTTGTGTCCCACCACCACCTCCCCCCTCCCCCCGTCAATTCAGACACTTCCTTTAAATTTTTTTGTTATTTTCAATTCTATATTTATACATTTTATCACTAATGTGTTCGTTGATCATAACTAACATTGACCCTAAAATTGTGAGTAACTGTAATCACGTTTGTAGGTGCAAGTCACATCAGGTGAGTTTGGCACTTAAATCAAACCATTCAGCAGTAATATATACCAATAATAAACAAAAATTGATTTGATGTCTGCAGTCTTGGGCTTAAAACAGATATCTTCAAACTAGACCATTAAGGGTTGACAATTGAGGATTAATAGGACATGACATTAAGCAATTGAGGCAAAGTGGAAAAATACATGAAAGTAAGCCTGGTGTGTAAAAAAAAAAAAATGCCTGTTTTGGAGAGAGGTAACTACAAAACCTTAATTGTCTGTGGAAACCTTAATTTATGTATTTAACACAGAATCACCCGGAGATCTTTTCAACTTGTTTTCTGTGCAATAGCATGTCTGGAAAAGTTCTGGAAGTGCTCTGAAATAGTGATACAGCACACAATGGAATAGTATTAATATCAGGGAGTTGATCCCAGTCATTGGACTTTTCACCATCAGGCTGGGGTTCACAAGACAATGCCATGGAATCGGAGATAAACCTTCGAGTGCCACCATCACCAAAGTCCCTGACCAATTGAAGACAGTGTGAGACTTGCATGTTTGTGTATATGTGTACTATGTAGTTTAAGCTAATAGATTTACTCATTAGTTTGCATATGCCTCTGGTAAATAATACTAAATTAAGCTGATAAATGTGCTTCAGATTGAAGAACTTGTGTCTTCTTGTATTAATTTTGTTCAGACCTTAAAGAAACTGTTAGGTACTTTCAGCCTAACAATACAATGACTCCAGTAGAGTAGCAAGGACATTTCTTAGATTTGAGTGTACTGAGGATTTGACATAATTGCTTTGTCGACATTGTTACATTTTACGATTACAACATATTGAGGATGACATGATTGTAATGTTCAATCATCTGTGATTCTCCAAAATATTCAAATTCAGTGAAAGTATTGAAAGTTAATTGAGTAATACAATAAGCATGTTTGGATATATGATTTTTTTTTTGAGATCAAATGGATAACATACTGCATCATCTTTGAATGAGTTGGCTGGAAAAGTATCTCCAAATAGCTTCAATATTCATATGCTGCATGTAGATTTATTTCGAAGTCTGAAATGTAGAAAGATTGAACATTTTCCTGCATTCCTGTTTCTGTCAACTGAGGCAAGAGCAACAAGACTTAAGTGATCTATTTCTACAGCATGATCTGATAAAACTCCAATGATGTTGCACTAAGAAACAAAAAAGTGTGCAGAAATACTGTTAGCCTCTCTGGTTAACTTTAAGTTATGTCCTCCTGATCCTTGTTGATCCCTGCTTAAGTTCAAAGAGCAAAGAACACAAAGTGCTATACTTACAGAAACTTTCAATTTCTAGCCGCATGTTTATTCCAGACTGCAATATAGTCATGATGTTAATCTTTCAATCAGCAAGGATTAACTGTAACCAATATGGTGGGGGAGTGAGTTTACTCTTAGTTTAATATCCACCACATTAATTATATATACGACTGTGCTAAGAATTGAGTACTAGTCCACATCAGCCATTTTGGCTGGCACATGTGAAAAGCTCTTTCATAATTCTTCTTTTTCCACTTCTCTTCTCAGAGCCTCAAGTCTTCTCGACCTCTTAAACTATTCAGGAATTTTGGATGGGACTCTTCCTTCTGAGTTCTGAGTTCTTACCCACCACCTATCTGAGGCATCCATTTTCAGGGATCAACAAGGTTTTTAGTTCAAAAACGATTTACTTTATTTTGAAGTACCCTATAAAACATTCAGTTATTTGTCTAAATGTTTCTTTGGGAACCTGCTGTTAATGGTATTCAGCTGCAAGTAGCTCCACGAGCCTTAACATGTACCTTTTGCTCTTGGCAAATTAGTTCTAGGCCTTATCGTTTCTTTACCTCACCCTTGTCTGCTCTCCATGTCTATTTCCCAAACTGCCCAGGAACATTCTTGTAATGACTTTTAAAGCTAACTTTCAGTAGTTTCATTATTTCCTCACAACCATCTTTTGAAGGACAGGCAACAAATCCTGGCCTTGCCAGCAATGCCCACATCGTGAAAGAATATTGTAGAAATTTGTGTATTCCACTATAACTTATTTATGTTTAGGACACCTGTTAAAACTGTTGATAATAGGCACCAGAACTTTGTTTTTTTTGAAAAAAAAACAATGAAACTGCAGGTCTAACAGCATCTATGGAGAGAGAAACAAGGTTAACATTTTGAGTCTAGTATAACTCTTCTTCATTGTTAAAATGTTAATCTGTTTCTCTCTACAGATATGCTGCCAAGCCTGGGGAATCTTGCCAGTACTTTCTGTTTTTATGTGTTACGGTTTTTCCTAATCAACTTGTTCAGAGATGTTAAAACACACCATGGAGCTGGTGAAATTTGCACTCAGGAGTCCTGGTGCGGGGGTGTGGACACTACCACTGCAACACAAGAACCCCTGTATTTATATGTTGCATGTTGGTACTTTAAAGTTGATCACCTGAATCTATCAAATATTCAATCAGTTATATAGATAGTGAGACATTTATTCAGCAATACAAAAAAGGTCAAAGACTGTAAACCTAGGAAGACCACATGATCTTTGTGCTGAGCAGGGTCTGCTTGCTAGATTACAATAGAATGTTAAACAATTAAGCCAAGTTCAAACCCAACTCATGCAGCCTGTAAATGAGCTTGAATGAGGTTACCTTAGTGCTGGGTATGTCTCCATCCAGTGAGAGGATTTCCTCTTAATTTGCATTGTCTCCAGTTTTGCTCATCCTCATTATTTCAACATGAGCTCATGACTAATTTAATAGGGTGGCCTGAAAGGAAAAATGAACTTGAAACTGACACTGAAGATCATGGAAGGTCAATGTACTTATGACGCAAGTTATGCTTAAAATTCTCTTATCATCCAATTTGACCTATCTTGCATGATATATAAGAGAACATCTACTACATATTATTAACTTGTCAAATTATTTAGTAATGTCAGGAACTGTTGCTTAGTAACAATATAACGAGCAATACCATGTAATGAAGTTATCTCCTCTGACTTAATTTTAAACAATATTCACCAGGCCTCAAATTAAAATACTGTCAGAATCATAAAGTATCCACCTACCTGAATTAGCCTCCCTCACATATGTTAAAGCATTCCCAGCAGCATGAGAACTAAAATGCTTCTTTCTAAGGCAATAGCACAAGCAATCACATCTACCCCATGCCTGAAAAATCAAACAATTTAAACAAGGTAAATTACATTAGTAACAGCCTAAAGCAATTGCAATCATGCCCATCCCATTAATGCTTTATACATTTAGAATGTGGATGCTCAAGGAATAAACTTTTCAAAGGCAATGGAACGGTTTTAAATAAAAGGTACATTTGACATTATTGCCTAGTCTGTTGGAAAGTTTGAAGGACAGCAGTGCTGAAGTGATTTTAATTAGGAAAAATTGTGTGTGACATTCTTTCCTGCAAAATTCTCGTCTGTAGATGCATTTTTTTCTACAGGGATTTGAAGTCACCAATTAGCCTTTTAATGTGCATCTCCATTGATTGCCTAAGGGTGCTTTCACTTCACAATTGAAGTGAAACATCTCAGGGGATGTGAATCATGTGGAGTAGAAGACAACACTCAACGGTTGTATTGAATTGTGGTATTTGGATTTTGCAGGATATGTATGAACAAGTTTTATTCAAGTCTCTAACTAGTACGTACATCAATGAAAAATAATGAATAGCAATTGAATATCCACTATTAGTATAGATAATGACTGCAATATCAAACAAATCCATTAAAAAAGGAATAAATTGTATTTATATAGTACTATTATTTTCATTGTATTGTTCATAAATAGCTGTGAAATAATTGAAAATTGAATGAAAACATAAAAATTAGGAGCACAAATAGACCATTCAGACTTTTGAGCCTGCTCTGCTGTTCAATAAGATTGAGGCTGATTCTTGTTTCAAGTTCCATATTTCTACCTACCCACCTCATCCCTCCACCCAATAACCCTTGATAATAAGAAACTATATACTTTAACCTTAAAATTATTCAATGATCCTACCGTAACCACTTTCTGAGGCAGAGTTCCAAAGTTGTACAACCTTCTGAAAGGAAAAAAAAGCAGATCTGTGACTTAAAAGTGTGACCTCTAATTTTGAACAGTACCCCTAGTTCTGAACTGACCTACAAGAGGAAACAACCTTTCCACGCCCACCTTGTTAAGACGCTTCAGGATCTTATTACATTAATCAAGTCACCCCTCATATGGCTACACTCTAATGAAAAAAAATAAGTCTTCCAGCCTTTACTCACATGAAAACCTGCTCATTCCATGTATCAATCCTGTAGACTTCCTCTGATCTGCATCCATACGTTTACATCCTTCCTTACATGAGACCAGAATTGCAAATTTGAGATGTGGTCTCACCAATATCCTGTATAACCAAAGCATAACATCTTTGCTTGTACGTCCAACTCCTCGTGTAATAAAATCTAACATTCAGTTAGCCATCTTACATATGTTCTGAACCTGCATACTATCTTTTCATAATTCTTGTGTCACAATAGAAGTCCTCTCTGCCTCTTAATCAGCAGCTGTTCTCCTTTAACTAATATTCCACATTTTTATTCTTCCTATCAAGGTGAACAACTCCACATCTTCTCATATTATACTCCATCTGCCAGATTTTTGTCCACTCACTCAAACTATCTATACCCATCTGAAACTTCCTTGTGTCCTCTTCAGAAAATACATTCTGATGGTTCCATGTGGCATCTGCAAATGTAACTACATTTCTTCACTCCACTCATCTGTATGATTGATGTAAATGATTAAAAGCTGAGGTTCCAGCACAGATCCCTATGGGTCTCCTCTCGTCATATCCTGCTAAATAGTAAAAGATTCATTTAACCATATTCTCGTTTCCTCTCAGCCAGCCAATCATCTACCTCTTCTAATACGTTACCCCCATACCTCTTACTTTGTGAAATACACACCTCTTATGTAGCACATTATGAATTGCCTCCGGAAATCCAAGTGCAGTATGTCTGTTGTTCCCTTTATCCACAACTCCTTCAAAGGATTCCAGTAAATTGGTTAAACAGGATTTCTCTTTTACAAAACCATGCTGACTCTTTCCAATTACCTTGAGCTTTTCTAAGTGCCCAGCTATAACTTGCTTCTAATACCTTTTCCTCAATAGACATCAAGTTAACTGGCCTATAGTTTCTTGTTTTCCATCACTTCTTGAAAAGAGAGGCAATATTTGCTACTTCGTGCCTAATGGAATCTTTACAGAATCTACTAAATTTTCAAAATCCGCACGATTGCATCTACTACCTCATAGGTTAACTCTTTTAAGACCTGAGGATGAAGTTTGTTAGGACCCAGGAAATTGTCACCCCACAGCCTGATCAGTTTGCTAAGTGCCACTTCATTATGGTGATTATAAGTTTCCCAAATACCTCTCCTGCACCTCCTGATTTATAGCTAATACTAGAATGTGTTTGTAACATCTTTAATATTAACTTCTCATTGTCACTTTCTAGAGAACCTGTTCTAATTTTACTGTCTCTTTTTCCCTTTTAAGTACCTATAAACACTTGCTGTCTGTTTGTACACTTCTAGCTAGCTTCCTCTCATACTTCAATTTATTTTTCATAATTAATATTTCAGCCATTGTTGACTATTCTTCATTTTGTGACCTGCCTCTCACCTTGTATATATGCTTGCTTTTTCTTGAAGTTTGGTACTTTCTGTAATTCTTTCGTTTGCTACAGACGTTGTATTGTTCCTTAAGAATTTTTTATAATAGGAAAATCCTAATTCTAAATACAGCAAACTTTGTTTTAACCATCACCTTATGAACTAGCACTCTTGATAAACCAGCAAAAGTTATATGCTTCAAATACTGCAAAGTTTATTGTATTACTGTCCAATATTATAGTTATTTTTAAATTTATTTACTTCTGTATAAATATACTTGTTGTTCATTCAAATGCCTGCATGAAATATCAACAGTTGATTCAATTTCAAGTAAATTTCTCCTCAAATACCGTGATCTACTGCAATATCAGAGTATTCAGTTGAGTGTGACAGTGAGAAGGCTCTCTGCCAATAAGTCCTATTTAAGGTACTATTGCATTATTATTTGTGATTTTTGGTGTAAATAAAATACAACTAATGTATAAAACCCTGCTTTATGTTTGTATTACTTACTGAGTGTTTTTACATTGATTATGTGGACCTCTTGATTATTTGGAATATTTGATCAATTGGCACATTCCTGGTCTCATAGGTGCCAGATGATAAAAAGTTTACTGTGTCCTGAAACATCCCTTAAATGTGTACCACTGCTTCTCTATTGATCTATCTATTAGCCTAGTCTGACAGTTCACTTCAGCTCACTTAGCTTTCATACGTATACTGTCCACTTCAAAATACTCGTTTTCAAGCACCTAATTCTCCCTTTCACATTAAATGTAAATTTGAATCATATTAAAGTCTCTGCTATCTAGAGGAGCCTTTACTCTGAGTTTATCAATTAATCCTTTCACATTACACAATTACAAGTCTAAAATAACATACTCTCTAGTTGGTTCCAGCACATGCCTCAGATGGTGAGAGGGGACACTATTTTTTTTAACACATAGGTAGATAAATTCTTGTTCAGCAGGAGAATCAAGAATTATTGACCAGGCCTATATTAACTAGAATTTAGAAAGTACAGGAGGGGATATAGATTGAAATGCATAAAATTCTAACTGGGCTGGACAGACTTGATGCAGGACTCCCTGTTTGGGGAGTCTAGAACCAGGTGTTGTGTATTAATTACCACAAGTACCTTTAATTCAGCTACTTATTAAGAAATCGCATGGACAATTAAATCCTGAAACAATTATCTAAACTTCATTGCGTGTAGCAACCAAAAGAAGACCCCTCAAGTAAGCAAATAAAGCCTCATGACCCAACTTGGCTATTAGCAACTTAAAGATTGAATTTAGCTACAATGTCTGTCTCTGCATGTCCAGGAGATGATCCTTGGGCAGTGCTGTTCTTCAAATTTCTGCCTCTGAAGAGTCCTGGAGTTGAATTTTTATACAATTTTCTGTCCTTCACATTTATGGTGTGATATGGTGGATGATCTTTTAGATTCTTTCATCCACAGTATTGCAAGTCTGCAGCTTGTTTTTTCATCAGAAATAGCTCCTCTATTCACTGTTACATTTGGTGTTAGCTCTTTGTTTGATGACACAGCCTTCCTGTGATTAATTCCTTAAATTCTTCTGCAGGAAAGTCATTTGTCCTTGTGGTATAAGGCAGCCAGTTTTCAAGCAGTTTTTAAAACTGTTTTGTTTATGTAGCTTCAACTCCTCCTTTTCCCAGGCATGGCTAATTGCTTCCAATTCCTCTATAACAGTTTGTCCTTGCCCCTTAATTGTTTACTCCAGATAGAATTCCTGTTCATTGTTTCAATCCAAGAACAGTTATTAAAGTTCTAAAGTTTACACTATCACATAGGGATACAGTTTCAGGATAATAGGTTGATCATTTAGGACTGAAATGAGGAAATATTTCTTCACCCAAAGACTGATGAACATTTGAAATTCTCTACCACAGATGGCTGTGGAGGCCAAGTTGCTGAAGATATTCAAGAAAGACTGAGGTAAATCTTTAGATTTTAAAGCTATCAAGGGATATAGGGAGAATGTGGGAATATGATGTTCAGACAGGAGATCAGCCATAATCATACTCAATGGTGGATCTGTCTTGAAGAATTGAGTGGCCGACTCCTGGTCCTAGTTTCTATTTATGTTAAACACCTTCACACAGCCAAAAAGATTCTGCTGTAGGGTCTGGGAAGACCATTCATATTGCCATACTTAGCACTGATGCATAATCTTCACAAGTAAGCTATGGGACTCACAGTAACAGAGTTCACTTTTAAGATAATACTGTGCAATGTTTTGAACTGTTTGACCATTTTTCCACATAAAGTATTTGGATATCACTTGCATTAAATTGAAACATTTCATTAAAGTTCACAAATATTTGCTACTAATAAGCAATACATTACAGGTCTGGCAGCATTTGTAGAGACATAAGAACAGTTAATGACCAGGACTGTTCTTTAAATTTGGCAGTATCCCCAGTTTGGAGCCAGCAGATGTGTTCAAGTCCTACCTGCTCCAGGTGTGTAATAGCATCTTTG